AAACAACTTTTGATCAACTACAAAAGCTGGTGACTTTAGGCCCTGGTGTTCCGAAGTGTTATGAGTCAACAACATGAATCAAACGAAACTTCATTGAAGTTTATGTATCCACGCAGAAATTCTGTGTTTGTCCCCTTAGCTGCTATGTCTGTATCGTTATCAAAAACTGTACTATGAAACGTCGTAGTAGATGGATGTTCCATCACCATGGCACCTAGGAATTCTTCTGCGGAATCATTGAAAGATACGGATGAGAGCGTTCCTATTATTATTATTGGTATTTTGCTTTCTTTTCTGGTGTCCATTCAATGTTTTCGTTTTCATGTCGTTTGAATTTTTTGTCCGTTTGTTGTTGGTATTTTGTTTTTATGATGTCTCTTCAATATTTTCGTCTTCGTGTCGTTCGAATTCTTTGTTCGTCGGTTCTTGGTATTTTGTTTTCTTTTCTTACAAATGTCTATCGTCCTGAGTTAATTTCTGTTCATGGTCTTTCTTTCATGAATTCCCATAGCCAATTTCTCAATTGAAATCTGTTTATGCCTTTGCGTTCCAAACCCCCGTTGCACTGCCTATAGACTTTAGTTTTATATCTCAAAAACACTGCAAGTTCTCTTACGAAGGGAAATACTTGTCTCTTTTGTTTGTAATCCTGCCTTCAAATAGTAATTGGCACCTCTAACGAGCCAGGAATCGGAGTTTTTGGTTTATGAATAACTGCCAAAAGCCGTTCTTTTAATGCCGATTCAAGTACCCATTCAGGGTTTTTAATTTCATGTCATTCGATTTTTTTGTTCTTTTGTTCGCCTGTTCTTGATGGTGATTTGCCCGTCTGTTCTTAGTAGTGGTTTTGATTTTCTGGTATCCATTCAGCATTTTTTTGTTTATGTCTTTCGAATTTTTTGTCTGTCTGCACTTGGTAGTTTGCTTTCTTTCCTGGTGTCCATTTTTTATTTTCAGTTTCATGTCGTTCGAATTCTTTGTCCTTGGGTTCTTGGTATTTTGATGTTTTTTCTGGTGTCCATTCCGTGTTTTTGTTTTCATGTTATTCGAATTCTTTGTCCGCAGGTTCTTGGTATTTTGTTTTCGTTTTTGGTGTCCATTCAGTGTTTTCCCATATACTAATGTAATTTTTAAAAATTGTGTTATCTGCCTCGCGTAATTTTTTTCTTAGCCGTTTTCGCCAATTGAGAACGCAATAGTATACGATCTTCAAGTGACGAAGTTGGGATAGCGGCACACAAGAAAATATTGCTGAGAGGTACGATTTATGTGGTTTGTGAGTCTTTTCTTGAACAACTGAGTTAACTACAAGAGCTGGCGACTCAGCAGTTCTTAATGCTCAAAAATGTTGTGAATCAACATAAGAAACTTAACGAAACTTTATTGAATTTGATGCATCCACACCGAAATTCTGTGTCTGTTACCTTAGCTGTGGTGGGCGTATCGACTTCAAAAACTGTACCAGGCAACATTGTAGTAGATGAAAATTCCATCACCATGGCACCTACAAATTATTCTACGGAATCATTGGGAGATATGGATGAGAAAGTTTCTATTACTATTTGTACCATAATTTGCACCATAATTTGCTCTCTTCTTGGATTGGCTTATTTCATATACTTGTATAGCAAACTACCAAAACTTCCTCATTTTATGCCGACAGATCGTAATATCCCAGTTATTTATTTTCAAAGATAATTTATAGGTGGTCGTTTTTTTACTACAAGCAAAAGTTTTGTTATTGATTATTGTAAAAGAAAATTCTTCAAATGTCATCAACATGATTTCTCTAAAATGGACCGTAATGAATAAATTTAAAAGAAAAAGTTTGAGGTGACGAAGTGATGTCTAGGAGATAGAGGTTAGTAAGAACCTAAAGCCAGGCGAGGCATTAGGTAATGACCTCTGCTTGGTGGGTCAAGGTGGCGACTTTGATCTCTAAGATTATAGGCGAGGCAGATACGGATGACTGAGGCTTCGAAGGAGTTCAAGGTTACTCAATAAACAAGAAATAGTAAAAAGGCGAACATTATAAACCCGTTGGTCAAGGCAGGTGTGGTTTGCGATGAGCTCTCGAACCTATGGTGCAATGCTATCTTGAATTATGTAGTAGCCCGATAGTTCCTGCTACTTCATATATTTTTTAAATATTGGATTTGTATGTTTTTTTGTTAATAAATTTAATATTTTTGATTATGCTTATTATTCAAATCTTAATTAAAACTAAAAACCTACAAGTCAAATTACGATTGGTTTACGTAACTAATTTTTTGCTTTTTTATAGGGAGTATCGATATAATAATGTAAAAACAGAGTTTGTGTGAACAAATCTTAGTTTACTGTAGATAAAAAATACAAAATATTTTAAGAGTACTTTTCCAGTACTAAATTGTTAATAATCTTATGTGCTTCTAAAACACTTTTCCAGCATTTGCAAGTGACGGGGAAATGTATGCCTGAAAATCGTCGACCAACATTTTTTCCTGATTAAAATCAATTTCTACTTTACAAATTTGTAATAAGTTTTAATATTTAATAATTGATGGGCTTCAATATTTTAAAATACATACCTACCTATTCCTATCTCCACTACTGAAAGCTCAAAACCGATCAACAAAATCATGCCACATAGCGAGGGGATATTTGACTGGCTGGCGCCCTCAGATGCGTATCCAAATGCATTAAAAGGTAACACCAAAATTAAATTTAACACTAATTACATTCAACTAGAACACTTTTTAATCTAAAAAAATCACTTAAAATTGATCTTTGATTAATACACAGCTAAAACAAATGTTTCAATAACAAAATTAATTAAAATAATATAACTTATCGCGTAGTACGCTCCTGAAAACGTGACGTAGAAAGCTTGAAATTTGTTTCTTTTATCTAAGCTTGAAGAAATTGACAGTCTGGTGTCTAAATTGTCATGCGCACCCACTAAAATATATATTAAACATGAAGGTCGACCATTTTTTTACTCAGTGGCGTAGCCACGGGGGGTTTTGGACTCAGAACCCCTCCATGAAGGACCTTCGCGTCAACGTTTTCGCTATTTTATTGTCGCTGATCGCTATTAACTGTTTGTTAACCCCCATAGTTCTCAGAAACCCCTCCCCATGAAAAATTTCTGGATACGCCACTGATTTCACTCATATCGGCTTAGAAATTAGGAGTAGGGCTTATGACATATAGCTATCCAGTTTAATATGAAGGTCGGTGATCCCCACTGCTAGTTTGAAATAATATACAGGGTGTTGCAGTTGAAAAAATTAAACTTAAAATTAACCATATTTAAGACATGTTTAAAAAAACTCTGTATAAAATAAACCAGTTGTATCATCACCATTATTTAGCTTGGTATCTTGTTAGTCTGTGTTTTTAAACAATTTTGAAATAATTGCAAACCTACCTAAACTATGAAAATTTAATTTGGGGGTCTGCATTATTCTTTAATTTCACAAAATTAATTGCTTGACAGCCCAGCCTTATAATATTTGTTTAAAACATTTTAGGATTGAATACATTATTATCAAACCATCATCCTAAAACTGAAACAAAATACAGGGTGTCCTATTTAAAAAATAAATGTTTTTATTTTACAGGCAAAAACGTAACATCCTGCATATCTAAAAACTTTTTTTTAATATGTTTTTGTTTTAATTGCATATAACTTTTATTTAAAACCTGTTTGCGTGTCTATAACACAAATTGAAATATAGAGCAATTACGCACTAATGGGACACCCTGTATAAACTGGTTTCCCCTTGTACTGGGACAGCTCTAACAGATAGGCCGCCGATGACGCAATTCGGCAAATCCGTATTTTTCCATTAATAATTATTTACAAAAATTGTATTATGATTAAAATACAAAATGATGTAGTAATCACACGGTCGGATTTCGTACTACTCGTATAACTAGGGTGACCAGACGTCAGGATAAAGCCGGACATGTCCAGCTTTTTCGCTTGAATGAAAACGTCAGGCCGGCTTTTTGTCGTGTCCGGCTTTTTATCAATCGAAAATTGATGAAATCATTTTATTAATAGACAGTTTGACAACAAAGATTCAAAATGAGGAATTTTTATCATTATCTTTAGATAAAAAGTGGTCTTACTTAAAATTTGTGAATTCTACTTTGCTATTTCGCCACATAATGCTGCCGTCGTGCGAATTTTTTCTTTAATCGCAGCGTAGTGGACCAAAGAAAGAAACCGTTTATCTATCGAATCAATAAAAAGCCTCATAATGTTAAAATTTAATTTAAAAATGTCTTGTGAGGAATATTATGATTATTTGATGGACAATCCCAATATTTTAAAAAAAATTGGTTCTTTTGAAAAGTATAAGTAGTTTTTACCTCAGTAAAAATTGTTACATTTTTTTATATAAATATATTTGTTAAATGTCTTTTGTTAAATGTTTTTTTATTAAAAATCAGGCTTTTTTGTCCTGGTTGTCCTACTTTTCTGCAAATAAATCTGGTCACCCTACTATAACTTATTTGCCGTTAAAATCAAATTTTAGTAGATCTATCGTTGTATTGTAAATGTTGTAAATGTAAATAGATTAAAATAAATAAATAAATAAATTATAATAATTTTATTGTCCAACAGGCCCAACAGATTAATCTATTTACAGGATAAAATACCTTCATCATTATCTCAAAATAAATAATTTAGCCCTTCTATAAAACAAATAAAATATAATTATATAGAAATTTGCCAAATTTATAAACGTCTCGTAATAATTTATTACAGCATTTAATTGAAAATGTGGCTGGCCGAATCATTATTAATCTGGGCTAATTATGTTTCGACTGTAGATACAAAATATCACGTAAAATTGATGAGCTAATTAAAAATCAATTTACGTAGCCATCCTTATTTTATCGATTCCAGGATGACACCGAGTAAAAATATATGTTTATTTTGAATTCTAACCTCTTAGATTTTGAGCAAACAGAGCAATATATCAGAGCACGTGACGGATACTTACAACATCGATAAGTTGCGATAGTTTGAGCTTAATTTTGACTGTGAGCGCATCGGTGACATTGATGACGGGTCGAACCAGTTTGTTGTAGTTTGATAATAAATCATCGTATAGTCGTTTGGCATCTGGATTACCGGAACATCCTGAAATAAAAAAAAATCGTTAAAAAATAGTTAGAAAATGTTTCTTTGTATACTATAGGAATATACCGAGTTGCTAAAAAGAGTCTGGCATCAGGTATTTTTTTCTGATGACAGAACTATATATCTGTGCTTTAGGACCGGTTTTGTAATTTCCGGCTATTCAGCCGTCAGTCATTACCTGTGAAAACGTTAATATTGAGTTATTCTGACTAACCGTAACCGACACTTGCAAGTGGCAGTTTCGTACAAATAGCCGCAAGCTATTTATTTATGGTTTATCAAAATTGGCGGAACACTCAATTTGTGGCTCAATTATAGATTGTAATGAAAATTAACCGGAATAAAGTTTTTTGTATATTTTATGCACTATTTAATGATGCTTGGGGATTTTTATAATCTGTCATATTAATCAAGATATGACGTAATCGGATAAAATTTTAAAATAATTTCTCTTAATATTTATACATACATACATAGTTATAGTTCTTAATTTACCAATGAAGGATTTAAGGGGCTCTGAGTTTATAATAAAATAAAAAGTAAACATTTATTTAATGAAAAATAATAATTACATCAATGGAAGTACACAAATCTTTCAAAGTAAGTATTTGGAGAGAAAGCCTTCAACTGCCTGATAATATCCTAGTCTATCAACAAATCATCTTAAGGTATTTTGATAAAGTTCACGCGTTATTTTTTGAATAACAATTCTTATTTTGTCTTGCAATTCTCCTAGTCAATTATGTTTATTTACAAATCCACTGAGAAATGTTGATTCGTCGGAAAACATTTTATTTGCATTAATGGCATTCATCTTCTTCTGACAGAATTGCATTCGCCTATATGGGACATCTTCATTCAAGTCTTGGTGTAATTGTACTTTATAGGGATGAAGTTTATTGACTTTTTGCATTATTGTTTTAAATACATTCTTTCAAGTAAATTTGACAAGGTCGGCTTTTAACTATTCTTTCATTTAATTCGCTGTATTTGTAATATGTTAAAGGTATTTTTAGTAAGTGGTTCATGTTGTAATTAGGACGTTTTTGCATAGAAAAACAGTTGTAGATGACTGCATCACAAATATGCCTTAAACTCAAAAACTGAAATTTTGTTGTATAGGACGTTTCAGCTTAGCAGAACAGCATAGGTTATCAAGAGTCTTATCACCCTTGTGCATAACCATATGGTCATTTTGGGGCTTAGGCTTCAGTTTTCCCGCATATTCTTCTATAAGTTACGAGAGCCAGTATAGCTTCGTATGCAAGCTTTTTGTGATGTTGATTCCACGTGAGTCTTTAGTTGAATATAACTTCAAGGAATTTGGCATTTGTGACAAATGGAATAATCATGTTGATTAGTACCAGTAGAATTAGTTCTGTAAGTACCCGTTTGAATGGTACAGCTGTTCTTTTTGTACGTTAATGGACCATTGCTACTTTTTGCACAATGTTGTTCAATATATTTAGAGCTGTTTGATTTTGCTCCGAGACTGTGCCAGCAAATCGTTCCCTGACGATAATTACTAGGACATCCGCGTATCCTAGGCACTGGTAACCTTCTTTGGACAATGTTTAATTTTTTCTTTTAGGCCAAAATGATGGTCCAAAAACAAAAATCGGTTGAAGTTTAAAATTTGTAAATAAATTTAATATTAAGTGGTAAAGATTTTGAGTTATTTCATTTATTAAATTATTTAGCAAAAGCATCAACATTTCCAAAATCATAGCATCCAATGCACACTCATAACAAATGTCTTTAACAGGTAGTCAGTAATAATTAATAGTCAACAAATATAAAAAACTCTTAGTCACCTATCATTTTTACTTTCCTGTATCCTGTAAGAAAAGTCATCATTATTTTTTTCGACCTTGAGTTTTGCACGGATCTTTACGTTCTGGGGTCACCTGAATTTTGACCAGTTTCGTGATGATATATGTAGTCTGTCTGTGTGTGTGTGTGCGTGTGTGCGTGTGTGCGCGTGCGCGTGTGCGTGTGTGCGTGTGTGTGTGTGGGTGCGTGCGTGTGTGTGCGTGTGTGCCTGTGTGCGTGTATGCATGTGTGCGTGTGTGCGTGTGTGCGTGTGTGCGTGTGTGCGTGCGTGCGTGTGTGTGTGTGTGTGTGTGTGTGTGTGTGGGTGTGTGTGTGCGCGCGCGTGTGTGTGTGTGTGTGTGTGTGTGTGTGTGTGCGTTTGTGCATGTGTGCTTGTGTGCGTGTGCGTGTATGTGACCGGGTGTATGTGTATGTGTATGTGTTGTGTGTGTGTGTGTGTGTGTGTGTGTGTGTGTGTGTGCGTTTGTGCATGTGTGCTTGTGTGTGTGTGCGTGTATGTGACCGGGTGTATGTGTATGTGTTGTGTGTGTGTTGTGTGTGTGTGTGTGTGTGTGTGTGTGTGTGTGTGTGTGTGTGTGTGTGTGTGTGTGTGTGTGTGTGTGTGTATGTGTCGGTATGTATGTGTCGGTATCCACGATAACTCTAAGCCGGATAAAGAAAAAAATAACAAATTTTAAACTGAAGATTTAAACAAATCGCAGTGCGTTACCGCTTCGATGACGGAGGTAAGGTTTCTCGAGTTTTTATCCCTTGTAAGTCAAATGGTACCATCAGTTATCTTTGAATCGCCCCGAGCTTCACGGCAAATAATATTAGTAATCGTCCTCAGAAGCCCAGTTGCCTTCAGGGGTTAAAATTTACTTGTAAGGGGTGAATAAGCAAGTATATTTAGAATTGTTATTATTTATCCTGTGGTGAACTGATTAAATTTTGGGCATAGTGAGTCGGAGCATCTGGGGAATACTTTATAGGGAGCTTTTTCCTACCTTAACATTTTTGTCATCTATGTATCAAGAGTTATTTGTTATTTTAATAATTTCTGCCCAATTCGTGATCTCTATAAAATAGTCTGTAATGAAGAAATTTTAATTTATCATTAATTTCGATGACAATAAAGATAAAAAATATTTATAATAATTTTTAACTCACATTCTAAACAATTTTTGATTAAATGATAACTTGATAACTTTACAGAAAAGTCATGTGTTGGTCACATCATACGTTTTATAAATATATATTAGATTGAAACACAAATAATGCAAATCTGTAAAAAATCACAACTCTACACAATGATTTGGTAAAATAAAAGGCTCAACTTTCGTTTAGCCGAAATCTGTTGTCATAATAACAATTGTGATGGCTATGAGTAAACAAGAACCCTAATCTTATGGTGAGGAAATGCGTAGTTGCCAAGTTGTAGATGATTACGGTTTTTGTTTAATTTCATTTAACTGAAATAAATTATGCAAAAAATGTTGCCATGGACACGCTTGTCATGTTACCCACTAAACAAAAACCCCAATCTCGTGATGGGAAAATGCGTGGTTGCCAAGTTATAGATCATTTAATGTTCACTTTAGTTTAGCCGAAATTAGTTATGGAAAAACTGTTGTCATGGAAACTCTTGTCATGCTAAGGACTAAACAAAAATCCAAATCCCGCAGTAAGGAAATGCTTAGTTGCCAAGTTAAAGATTATTTAATGTTCACTTTAGTTTAGCCGAAATCAGTTATGAAGAAACTGTTTCCATGGAAACGTTTATTATGCTAACGACTAAACAAAAACCCAAATCTCGTGGTGAGGAAATGCGTAGTTGCCAAGTAGTGGTTAGTAGGTGGGTGGAACGAGCGTAGCGTGATCTTATGATGTAGGTGAAAAAAGAGCGCGCCCAGCCGACGTTTCTAAATTCGCGCGCGCCAATTTCGAAACGTCGGCCGGGCGCGCTCGCTTCGCTCGCTTTCCTCTGTAGTAATTAAGAGGTGGGTGAAAGGAGCTTAGCGTGATCTTACAATGTAGGTAGAAAAAGAGCACGCCTGGCCGACGTTTCAAAATTCGCGCGCGCGAATTTCGAAACGTCGGCCAGGCGCGCTCGCTTCGCTCGCTTTCCTCTGTAGTAGTTAGGATGTGGGTGGGAGGAGCGTAGCGTGATCTTATAGAGAAACTGTTGCCATGGAAACCTATGTCATGCTAATGACTAAACAAATACCGTAGTGAGAAAATGCCTAGTTGCCAAGTTATAGATGGTTTCATTTTCACTTTAGTTTAGATTAGGATATTGTGTTAAGAGTTAATCTTAATATAAGGGGCCACTACGCATTTCCTCACCACTAGATTTAGGTTTTTGTTTAGTCGACATCACGACATCACCATAACCGATTTCAGCTAAACTAAAGTGAAAATTAAATGACCTGTAACTTGCCAACTATGCATTTTCTTACCACAGGATTTGGGTTTTTGTTTAGTCGTTACAAACTTTCAATTAAATATTTCTTGGAAGATAACAACTTTAATTTGGAATAAAATGTCTTTTAATTATACTCTTTTTAACAATTTTATAAAGAAATTCGTATCTGTAGGATTAATTGCTTTTTTACTCGTGTGTCATCAAGTACCTACATAGTTATTTCCCCGATTATAGTTGTGTATAATTGAGAAGAACACATTCCCCATTCCCTTGGGATGGAAATTAATTGCTAAAAAATACGACTCTGTTTAAAATCATCAATCCCAATGCGACCCTAATGTTTGCTTGCACCATTTAAATTTAATAATTAAATTGGACAATTCCCTAATCTAACGTTTACATGTAAAATAACATTGATGCAAGTATAAGTACGCAATTAAATTACTTTTAAATTGTATCTATTATTTAATACGTATAATATCGAAAATTAAAACAATATATTACCACCCTATCGTTAAAATTCAAACACGATAAATAAACCTATTAATTAAAATCCCGTACATGTTCGATTTTGGTATGGAACAAAACTCAAAATTAAATATACATAATTGAATTAGGTACTTAAAATAATTTTAATGAATTGCAAATAACGATATTTAATTTGTTTTTGTCGAAAAAAAAAATATATATAGCTATTAAGGACCACCTCTAGTCTCATTCGTTTTATTATTAAATTAATATTAATTACAATTTTAAAATAAAG